AGCAGCAATCTATTACTGTTTTAAGTGACGACGACATCATTGCTAAATATCATAGTGCATTTAAAGCCCTGACTAGACGTTGTATGGATTTACCACGATATGTTTGTGTATCATGTGAAAGGCTGTGTTACAAAAGAAATATTTGTGAACTAAATACTGTTTAAAAACAAATAGATGTAGCACCTTGGAGGGATTTGATGAGTTATGTAAAACAACGGAAAATTAATCCGCAATATATATGCAATTATTGTGTTCAAAAATTTGGCATAGGCTGCATGTGTCATGCCTGCATATTGTATTTTAAATAATCTTTTTGTAGATGACGTGCCTGAAGTAATATTGTCTCTTAATGTATTTGAAAGTGTTTTTATACAAAGAGCTAAAGCTTTTCAGACTGTTGTTAAATTAGGAGCTGTTATAAACAAACAATTGCCACAATGGCAAATGATACAGAAAGTCAACGGTAGAACGTTTCATTTGCCACTCCCTTTACAAGAGACTTTTGATAAAATATGTTCTAGCACTGATGCGATTAACATAAATCATGAATTGTATATTTTGGTAAGAAGTGTACTCACAAAATCAAAGGTTATGTGAGAAAAAATAATGAATGTAAAAAAAGTATTTGACGCTTTGACGTGGTTAAAAAACAATAATTGTTTTTATTCTAAAATCATTTTGCTAAGTACTCATGAAAATATGTGTTTAAACAAATTAAACAATCTTCAGTTTCAATTGGAAGAAACAGAAACTATGGTTAATGAACACGAATTATTAAAATTAAAAAAATCAACATCAAATATAGAATAGAATAGAAAATAACGCCGACGATAAAATAGCAGTAGACAATCGTGAGGCAATGCTAACACAAGTTACAAATGAGAACGATAATTATTAGGAACAATATACCATTTATCCTTTATATGAAAAAAAAAAATAAAACTGCAACAACATTGTTTTAAATGTTGAAAATTCATGATTTACTCTTGGATAATCGTGAAAAATTCTTAAATTTAATGTGTTTACCAGGTTTATTTCCTTATGGTATTAATGGACAATATGAATCTAGAAAAGTAAAACTTCATGACCACAATATTATTAAAAGTCGTTTGATGTCTAAACATTCACAGTACAGATTGAATCAACAATATTTATTTTATTTGTTAAACAATGCAAATATTCGTCAGTTAAGTCGCGGAATTTATCACAAAATGAATGTAACAAATGTACGATGTCGGTATACAGCTGCAGAATATTTAGAAGCAATGTCTAAAGAAGCGTTAGAATCTAATTTGAGTACAATATTTTCTACACTAAGAAATACAGAACAATATTGGCAAAAACCAAGAAGTAATTTAAATTGCATGACGCAACATTATGGNCCTGCAACGTGGTTTTTAACGTTAAGTCCTGGCGAATGGTTATGGGATGATTTAGGAGATTATATACGTGAAGTAAATGGATGGCATGATTCTTTGTTAAGTACTAGTGTACTTGTTGCAAAAGATNCTGTTTCAACGTCGAGATTTCTTGATAATAAATTTAAAGCAATGCTTGACTTTATATGTTCTAAAGATCATCCGATCGGAGAAGTAAGTCATTACTTCTGGCGACGAGAATATCAGGGTAGAAGCATACAATATTTCCATTTATTAATTTGGATTAAAAACGCACCGATTATAGGAGAATCTTTTATTGAAGAAGTTTCTAAATTTATTTTACAACATATAAGCTGTAAAATGTCACATCAAGATATTTCACTGTTATTATATAAACGTGTTAATACGCATCAGATGCACAAACATAACGATTATTGTCTCCGTTCTAAGAAAGTAGACCGTAAAATTGTACTTAGATGTCGGTTTGGATTTCTTTGTCCCGTCACTGAAGCATTGACTATAAGAAATGTTATAAGTTCGATAGCAGGTAGAAAGCAATTAAAACATAGAAGTAGGCTTTACGATCTTCCTCGTAGAGAAAATGAAGTTTACATAAATGATTATAATCCTGT